GCGCACGGCACTCACCTCGCCTGGAACTCCTTGGTGCAGAGGGAGTGAGTGATGTGCTCGATGGAGTCGCAGAGGCAGTGCGTGTAGTCGTAAGTGGGGTAGATGCACCTGCGGGGCAGCCGCAGTCGGCCCCGGGGCAGACCTCCCGCCGACCCACCCGGTTGTCCCCGGTGCGGTGGTGCGGAGTGAACTTGATGCGGTAGGCAACGGGGTCCATCTTCCCATCCTCCATCACCAGCTTCATCCGCAGCGTGGCCTCCCCCTCCCCAAACTTGCCCTTTCGCATGTCCTGTGGAGCAGGGAAGGCTGTTGGCTGAGCCCCAGGCCCAGACCCCACAGGCACGCAGCTCCTGTCCCCAGCCAGGAGTAACTCAAAGAGCAGGAGAGACTCATCCACGGGCCGGTCCCGCCATGGCGAGGGCGGTGGGTTGTGGCCCTTGATCTCCTCGACCTTCTGGTGGCAGACGTATGCCTGGCCCCTATGGAGGGGAAACGCCGTCACCAGACACAAGCAGCCCGTTCCCTTGGGGAGGGGGAAGCCCGGCCGTGGCACAGGACATTCATGCCACCCCAGCATGCTCACCTGCGGATGAGCTCCAGGGCCCAGGTGTAGAGCTGGTCGAAGTAATCTGACGCATGGGTCACCGCATAGGGCTGGTAGCCTGCAGGGACGGGGGAAACAGGGCAGGTTGGAGGCATCCACAGGGCCCAGCAGCAGGACTTGCAGGCAGGGATGTCTCCAGCAGCGCCTGGCCTGATCGTGCCCTCCCCAAGCTGAGCCGTACCCAGCCACTCCACCATCTCCCGTATGGCTGTGAAGTACTTCTCCTCCTCCTTCTCAGGGTTGGTGTCATCATAGCGCAGGAAGCACACGCCACCGTTGGCCTGGGGATGGGGGACAGTGAGCAGGCAGCAGCTGAGCAATGGAGGGAGGCAGGGCCTGGGAGGAGCTGCCAGTGGGGCTTGGTGCTTCTCACCTTGGCATAGCCAAAGTTGAAGTTGATGGCTTTGGCATGGCCGATGTGCAGGATCCCATTAGGTTCAGGAGGAAACCGTGTCCGTACCTGCAGCAGGGAAAGGGAACTCAGGACACTCTTCCCATCCCTGACAGCAAGGGCACCGACGTGATCCCCAGATGATCCCAGAGAGCCCCCATACCAGGTGGGTGCTGCCTCCAGCCATGCTCCCTGTGAACCGTGTGTGTCCCCAGCCACTCCACCCAACCGGCTGGAGCCAGGCACAGTAGCTGGGCTGGTGGACATGGCCTCACCTGCCCACCCGTGATTGCCAGGTGCTGCTTCAGCAGAGCCATGGTGTTGGGTGTCACCACGTAGCCCTCCGTCTTGTAATTCTCTCCTGCGGGCAGAGGGTGCTGAGGGCTGCAGCAAAGCCCAGACCGAGCCAAGCCCCACAGCTGGCGGGGAAGGATGTGAGGCTGGGCCAGTCCCCTGGCTGTGGGCTCCGCCAAGCCCCAGACCGAGCCAAGCCCCACAGCTGGCGGGGAAGGACGTGAGGCTGGGCCAGTCCCCTGCAACACAGCTAGCTGGCAGCGGCTCATGGCACTAACCCGGCTTGTGGAACTTGAGGGCTTCCCCCCGCAGCTGCTCCAGCAGCGACCGTGTCTCTGTGCCCACCTCGCCTGCGGGGAGGGACGGGGCTGAGCAGGGGCCTGACCGCAGCTCCTGGGGCTCAGTTCAGTGGCAGGGCCCGGCCAGGAATCAAAAATCAAAAGGCTGGGAAGCTGCCTGCAAGAGGATGTTCTCTTACCGTTCTCCACCACAGCTGCCTTCTGCTTCTCTGCTGGGGCTGGCCGGGCCTTTGCAGCCTGCAGGGACAACCACAGCATCCTGAGTGCCCGGCCCTGGCACACACCTTCCCCTCCTGACCCACCCTGCTGCCGCCAACGCTCCCTCAGTCCCACTCCAATGGTGACGGATGGTCCGAGCAGCTACTTGGGATACTGCCTGGACACCCAGTAGGGAACCACCGCCCCAGTCCCCAGCCTTCCTCTCCTCCTCACCTTTGGTTTCTTTTCCAGGTCAGCTTCTGTCTTTGGCCCCAGCAAATGCAGCACCTGGAAGAAAGACGTAGACAGAAGTAGAAAAGTGTCTGATGCCTCAAAACCTGGACGTGGCCCTGTCCAGCTGTCACTCCCCTCACCTTGCCTGCACCTACCCCACTGGCAGGCTGTCCCCAGCACCAGGCCCTCTCACGGGACAGACCAGCAGCTCTCATACTGGGCATGGCACCAACAGGGCACACCACCCCAAGCAGCGCCCAATCCACTGCCCTCACACCCACCTGCAGGTCCACCTCATTCTTGATGGTCTTTCCGTCCGCCCACTGCAGCTGGCTCCGCGCTTCCCCTGTAGACAGGTCACGCCGCG